CCTCTTTTTATGTTCCTTCAGCCTTGCCTTTCATCTCTCTCTCTCTCGAAAAATAGACAAACATACAAGGAAAAACACACACACATAAACACACACACACACACACACACACACACACACACACACACACACACACACACACACACACACACACACACACACACACACACACACACACACACACACACACACACACATATAGAGAGATTTAGTTTGCTCGGGGCCGAGAGAAACCGACGGTTCAAAAAACGGCGACAGGTCGTTCACCTTCACCTCGTGTCCGATTGTGGTGTTGTTATTTTAGTAATAACAATTCCAGGTCAAGTTTGCAAACATTTTATTTCCAAAGAAGTGCAACAGTAACAACAAAAAAGTTTTGCTATGAAAGGTTTAGAGAAAAAATATCAACCAGAGAGTAGGATGAAAAATGTCCTCTGTAAAGAACACAGTTCACTATTGTCTACTAAAACTAGTAACAGTATGACTAGTATGGTTTCCTTATCATAATGGGATGTTAACATAAGCAAAGGAAAAAAGAGCTAAAGAGGAGAAAGATTAAAATATGATAACAGTTAAGAGAGAATATCTAAGAAAGAATATATAAAATATGCAACAACCCAAAACTAGAAATGAGGTTACGGGAAAGATTAAAGCGAATATGTAGTTAAGGAAGATAACGAAGAGAAAAAGTCGTATCATGGGTCAGCGACAAAGAGAGAGAGAGAGAGAGAGCGAGAGCGAGAGCGAGAGCAAGAGAGAGAGAGAGAGAGAGAGAGAGAGAGAGAGAGAGAGAGAGAGAGAGAGAGAGATAGGGGAGAGATAAAGCTAATAGGGAAGGTTATTAGATGCACTTACTCGCACTTTGAGTAAGAACTGAGCGCTGGAAGGAGGTACCTCTTACCGCTCCAGTGGCTCCTCAGGGCTCAGTGACGGGGACGAGCGAGTACCACACACCGGCCTCCTCGTCGTATACTCGGCCTGTCTCCATATCGAAAGCCAAACCGGAAGGGGAGATGGAAGGAGACGGAGAGGATGCGGGTGAGGCTGGAGAGGGGGAGGTCGTAGATTCCTCAGGCTTCTTCCTCTGAGGAGGAGGAGAGGGGAGAGGGAGAGGGGAAGAGGTGGTGGTGGAGATGGAGGAGGACCTGTGTCTTGGTCGCTTGAAACGGCGGTTGTTGAACGCCCTTTGAGGTGAGCTAGAAGGTAACCTCGCGGAAAACTTCTTACTTTCAGAGACTTTCTTGCTGTCTGGGCTCAGAAGAGAAGAGTACGAAGAAGGAGAAGAGGAGGAAGCAGACGACCGAGGATAGAATTTCGTGTCCGAGAGGTCAGGGGTTTGGTCGAAGCCCGAGGCACGAGCCGAAGGGGATTCGACTGCCCCCTGCGACCCCTTCTTCTCCGGCTGTTTGCCGTCCCTGCCGAAGGTCCTGGAGTACTCGAAGCTCCTCCTTTCGTTGAAGAAACCGTACTTCTTCCTGCCGTTCTTGTTCTTCCTGGGGACTACCTCCTTCCTGGGCTCTTTCTCCTCCAGCCCCGAGGCCTTGTCCACCCCGACTTTGTTCCCCGCAGAAGTGGCCTTGGGACGTCGTCGGGGGTGGGCGCTCGGCGTGTAAGAGCGGCCCTCTCTCTCGCCCACGACCTTCGGGGAGGACGAGGAGGCGAGCGCGGGGGCGAAGTCGGGCACGGGCTGACTATGGTACCCGCCGTGGTCCTTCGGGAGCGATTATGATAGTCATTATTCATTGATCTTTCTAATAGAATGGATGAGAATGAGGCAAATCTGCGAATTTCTTTTGCAGAGCGTGAAAGTGAGACTGAATGACTTTTTATGCAAAGGGAAACTATGATAATCGCTTGAACATGAGAGCAATTTCTGCTAAAGAAAATATTGATAATAACTGCGTGAATACGATATCAAAGCCAAGAAAAGAAAGCAAGAACATAGATAACAATGCTAAAAAGAAGAATAGGGGAATCCTTACATTGTGGCCGTCATGGTACCCGCCATCACCATGGTGGTCGTCATGGTAACCGCCGCCTCCGCCATGGTGGTCGTCATGGTAACCGCCGCCTCCGCCATGGTGGTCGTCATGGTAACCGCCGCCTCCGCCATGGTGGTCGTCGTGATGGTCGTCCTGAGGGAGAGAAGAATTACAAAGACGGTTAAAAGAGAAGTAGTAAAGATAAGGAGATTACAAAATGGTGGATGGCAAGAGAAAGATCAAGAGAACTTTTACAGAAGAAATAGTAAGAGACGAGAGAGAGAGAGAGAGAGAGAGAGAGAGAGAGAGAGAGAGAGAGAGAGAGAGAGAGAGAGAGAGAGAGAGAGAGAGAGAGAGAGAGAGAGAGAGAGAGAGAGAGAGAGAGAGAGAGATGAGAAAGAAAGAGAGAAAGAGAAAATGAGAGAGAGAAAATGAGAGAGAGAGAGAAAGAGAGAGAAGGAGAAAACGAGAGCGAGAGAGAGAAAATGAGAGCGAGAAAGAGAAAATGAGAACGACAA